AGAAAAGAGGAGAGGGCCTTTTGATCTATTTGGGGGAAGGTTTTAAAATGAAGAAATGTTTGTGATTTTTAAGTTATATAGTCGACCTGATCTAGCCCGCCAACCCGACGCAGGAAGCTCTAACCCACGTGTTTTTGAATTAAAGTGGGTAAATCGTGGTTTTGGTCCCCCTTGTTTTAATTCTTCCATATCGACCCCTAAAATTAAATTTTATTTCGATTTTGTTTTTAATTTTGCCACCTATTTTATTTTTTATAGTTCAATCCTTATTATTATTTCTTTATTTATTTATTCATCTAATTTAATATTTTATATCTATTATTATTATTATTTATTTATCTATTTATTTATTTTTATTTATTTATCTATTTATTTTATTACTTATTATTTTTTTATTTTGTTTATACATTATTATATATATATATATTTTTCTTTTTTATTATTACTATTATTATTTTCTTTTTATTCTACTTAAATATATACATATATTACTTGTCATGTTTGTCTCCTAGGGGTCCCCTTTTATTGTCATCTCTCTGACTAAAATTTCCCCTTCACTTTCGGTGAAGTGATGGTGGTAGTTTTTTTTACACTTTTTTTTTATTTTTTTATGTATATATATTTTATTTTTATTTTTTTCATTTTTCATTATAACTATTATTATTATTAGTATTCTTCGTATTTGCTTTTTTATGTTTATTCCTATTTGTTTTATTTATTTGTTTTATTTTAGTTTTTTTAAATTTTTTAAATTTTTATTTCCTCCTTATCACTATCATTATTATTATTATAGACTTTTTATTTATTTTATTTCTTATTATTTTTTATCTAACATCTTGTTTTGATCTTTTAAGGGTATTTTTGTAAATTCATTAAAGGTATGAAATTTGGATAATTATTTTACCCTTTAATTTAAATTACAACTTTCTTAATTTAAGATAACTGGAAATTACGTAGTACCGAAAGGGCAGCTCAAGGGTGCTAACCCTTCCTTGACTGTAACCGACTCCCGAATCCGACATATCTTTGGTAAAATGCAGATCAGGTAAGAAATAAAGGTATTCGATCAACCTATTTGTTTTTAAAATAAATGATCGGTGGTGGCTACAAACCATTTTCCTAAGTCGAAGCCCAATTTTGGGCCCACCCGAAAGATGGTTCCAACAGTTTTAAACTACAAACATTTTTAAAAGATTTATATATGTTACTCTGTTTTGTTGGAACACACTAGACATCCTATTCTGATCTCCTGAAAACTTGATACTTTGAACGTTTCCTATGAACTGAAATCTTCATATCTTTTACTCAAAGAAATAACAGTGGAACCTCAGCTCATCTCGAAAACCTGTAGACGTCTGAAACCAACAAGGAAATTTTATTGCTTTCCATTTATTTGCATGTCCTTCAGCATAACTTGGTAGTTCTGTATTACTGAGCTTTCTAAAGCTCACTCTCTTGCTTTCCATTTCAGGTTAAAAGAATCGATCCAACGCAACCATTAGTTTCAGTATGGGGAGTTCCATTGGCTTGGATTGAAGAGTACGGTACAAGGGAAATTTTTGGGCCATGTAGGTCACATTTGACTTATTTTTTTGTACTGAGTCTGGAACTTATATTTAATTATAAATTGTTTTATGATTTTACATGTTTTAACAAAAAAAACTAAATTTTCCCGTATTTTTATTGTGGTTCGCTCCGGTGGCCCTAATGTGACATCTCGGATCGAATCGGGTCATCCGCATCGGTCTGTGGGTTATTACATTTAGAGTCTAGCAGTTGCATAATCGGATTAGCACTATAGTGTGTAAGGGCACTTAGTGCAGCACTATGGTGTGTAAGGACACTTAGTGCATATGGTACTATAGTGTGTAAGGACACTTAATGCAACACTGTGGTGTGTAAGGAAGCTCAGTGCATATGGTAAGCACTTTGGTGCCTCTTTGACTCGAATACCTAAGGTCTTCATAGGGTTACGTTTGGGCTATGGTTTATTGGTTAATAAATAATAAACAGATGAATAAGCTTATGAGCTTATGGAATATATGACAAGTATATTGGTAATAAATTTATATATGATTCATATCATGTTCATATTAGTAGCATGATTAGAAATACATATAAAGTGTTCATCATGCATTGAATATTATTATTGTTTACATTTATGTGTTGCATTGCCTTGAATATATTTCTATTGATTGTCTCACTAAGAATATATTTAGCGTGTGATGATTTTCACAAGTAGGTAAATTAAAGCGGAAGAAGTAGGGAGCTGAGCTTGGCATCAATCACTAAGGAATATTTACAAGTAATAGTAATGACATCCGACTATGTTTCAAAATTTTCTAGCCGGCATGTATACGAGTAACAAGTGTTTGCAAACTAGAAGTATGGTTAGTATTAAATATAATCTAGTATAAACAAATATTATGATACTAAACCATGCTTTAAATGGGATTTTAAATTAGATAGTTTTATTTATTATATGAACAAAGAAGAACTATTCGTTACTACTTGAGATCATATTTGAATTAGCTGTTGAAATATTATATTTTGAATTCCTCTGATTATTTATTTTATAATAAATGTACAAATATGGAATTTGTGAAAGAAACCAGATGAAATGTTTTGAATATTTGATGTGACATCTTTAACTTGTAAATGTATAGTATACGGGTTAAGGGTGTTACAAAGATTCCGAAACAACATGAATCAAAAAGAAAAAGAAATAAAGAAAAAGATTGCGCTAAGCTTTTCTCTCTCTAGCCGCCCCTTTTCTTGTGTGTTTGGTTATTGATTTATATGAGAAGATTAGGTCAAATTGGTTGTTGATGAGGATGAGTTTAGTTGGAATAAAAGAGAGAATAAATCTCTTTTATCTTTATCATAAAACTCTTTGCAAATTTGACTTCCTTGTCTCCTTAAAACTCTGCGTGGAATTCCAACTTTTTAGTGTTCTCCTTTTATTTTACTTGATTATCTTGATGAGGTGAATTTATCCAGTCAGCATTATCATGCATAAATTAACACACACCAATAGTATCTTTTCCACTAAAACCAACAAAAATATAATATCAAACTTAACTGTGAAGGAAACTATGAAATTATGCATGAATAACTAATAATGCAACTAGACCGAACCTAAATACGACAATAATTATGGGTAAAAGGGTAGAAAATATAGTACTTTTATACTCTTAACATATGTCATGCAAAGAGAGACGGGGTATAGGCTTTTGTGACCTTAAAATTTTTAATTTCGTCCTTTTTTCTAGGTATGGAAATTTCTCCAATTCCCAAACTCTCTGCTTTTTTGAATTTTTAAACCTAAGTACTTTTCCTGTATAAGCTTTTTAGAAGCCAATAGTGTTTGAGGAGTTACTTTGTGTGGACAAGCATTTGAAACGCTAATGAACCTTTCCAGTGCTGTTTTCCATGCCTTATCTGGACAACTTTGCGCAACCTTTATATATTAATAACTTCATGCTTGAGGGGCAACCTAAATAGAATGTTGATAAGTCAAGATGGGTTTCTAAGAATATGAGTCGACAACCATTCTCAATACCCTTATCTCATCGGTGGATGAGGATCGACTTATATAGAAGCACCATAATGGAGGACGATTCTCGGTCATATCAGGTTATAGTTTGCTTTTTATGAAGAAAGGCATTGCTCGAGACCCTTCAAAGATATGAAAAACACTTTTAAAACTTCCCACCCTTCCCAAAATCAAATTTTTGGATGGAGAGCTTGTCACAATGCCCTTCCAACGGGAGAGAAAATTTTGATCGCTGACATCGGCGATGATCTTCGTTCCATGTGTACGCAAGCCGTTGAATCCACATCACAAGCTTTAAAGATTTGTAATATGACCAGTAAGATCCTCGCACTTTCAGGACTGGGAAACTCGATCATTATCGATTTTGCTTCCTCTTGTAAGGAGTGGTTTGAATATGCTGCTACCTCTCTTGGTCATGAAGGTTTCAATCTTTTCATTATTCTTATTTGGAATTTATGGAATAGAAGGGACATTATGGTGCACGAGTATGTATTGCAAAATGACCTAGTTGACATCACCGCGACATGGGAATTTAGGGCTGCTATAAAGATCTCGACAGCTTCTTCCACAATTGGTTCTAACGTAATGCATGCCAGTCCAAAGATGTTATGGTGCAACCCCCTTGAAGGACTTATTAAAATCAACGTTGACGGAGCTTTTCAGTCTAAATCTGGGGAGACAGTAGCGAGGATTGTTGCTTGTGATCATCACATGTTGGTCATAGGAGGTTTGGCAAGGAAACTTGACCCTCCTCAAACCTCTAAGTCGGCATAGGCTATGGCTTTTATGTATGCCATCCAAATGGTGATGGAACATGGTTGAGAACTGATGATTATCGAAGGAGATGCAATTTCAATTGTCAACCGACTTTATAATCCCCAGGAAGATTTATGGGTGATTGGATTGATTCTCAATGAGACTTGTATTTTTGTTGCAAGTCACTAAACATCAAAGTCAACTACACTGATCGGATGGCGAATCGAGTTGCGCACTCGCTTGTGCAATAAGTCTTGTCGAGAGTCGAGACTATTTGGTTTTATTTGGATGAACCTGGTTGTATTAAAAATGTACTTCTTGAGGTTATTGATATCTAATGAATGATCACATTTTATTAAAAAAATATCTTGCAGATACACTTACTAGTAAAACTCTAAAAAAGAACAAGATTTTGTTTTACCACCTAGGCTACTCTCTTATTTTACTTTAAAATATTGACTAATGACATACTATTAGTTTTTAAATTTTAAAATTTATTGTATATGTACATAACTCCAAAATTTGCACATGTACTCCCCACCGTTTGAAGTGTAAAGTGCATATTTTCTGCACAACAAATCAAGCCCGCGGTTGTTAACATGACGACACCTAGTAAACAATGCCTTAAACCCACATCAGCTACAAAATCAACCATCGTATCTCAAGGTGAAGCTTGAGGAATTTAACAATGGCGACTCACAGTGGGAGGGCTTGTAGGAGCCTAATGCCTACTTTTTTAGCAGTAAACATGGTAGTTTACTTGATCATACTCGGACTAGCTGGTTGGTCAGTTGATAAATACATCAATGGCGAACAAAATCATCCCCGTATAAAACCTCCCTTTCTTCCTTGGCTCCACCCCCTTGAATTTTTAGATGAATTGATGATCTTTATTGTGGAGCAGATTTAGGTGGCAATCCGTCAACAAGCTTTATGTTGATATTTGGTCTGATCGGCAGCATAATCGGTGCTTGTTCGGTGATAGCCGGTCTCTTTCATCACTTTGCTTGGACATATTACAGTTTTGCTGCTTCAGCTTCTTCGGCCATCGTTTCATGGGCCGTTACCGCTCTTGCTTTTGGGTACTTTATGCCATATTTCATCTCACGATAAGTTAAAAGTTCATTGCTTTTGCCATTTACTGTGCTTTTTAAAGATGAAATAATTATGTAAATCTCTTGTATATGCATATTTTTAAGTGAAATGGAGTTCATTCACTGTTGTTTGTTGTTGTGGGTGCAGTCTGGTGTGCAAGGAGATTGTACTAGGAGGTCATAGAGGAAAACGCTTGGTAACAAAATTTGAACTCCCTTAAATTATGGTTTCCTATCAATTCCTCCTACCGCATCGAGTTGATCAAGATATAGGGTTTATGGTTCGGGTTGAAGTTTCGGTGCCTGTTCTTCTTCTTGTTGCTGTAACATGGATAATACAACAGAAAAAAAAAATTTAGATTGGCAAAAGCACTAATTTAGCACTACCACCACGTGAAAAACAAATCAAATCAAACCAAACCAAATTCTTCTTGTCCAATAATAAAGCACATATATAATTCAGACGATCGTTTTGTCTCCAAGATGAATGCATTTAAATAATAATAAAACCCAAACCATCTACCACAAATCCACATTGCATCTGTATTGTAAACCTGCAAATATAAGGTACAGAGCACAAATCATATGAACTTATCTCATCACTGCTGTCCCTCGCCCGACTCTTTCGAAGCTTCCTTGATCTCGTCTCCAGCCTCATCCTAAAACCAAGGAACAGAACACATTGATTACAAACCATGAAATCGTCCAAATAGAAAACTTGAGAAAACCCATCATCAGTTAAAAAAAAAGCATCCAATGAATGAAATAATTAACAGTTCTGAAATTACATAGATGAGGTAAAATGTGTTTGGTGTGTATACTGTGGCAAAAAAGTTTGCTCAAGAACATAGATTTTGACATTTGTCAAATCCATGTTGGTGCAAAAAATCATGGCAATTTGAAGAGAGTTTTATTTGATGTCCAAACACACAGCTGCATGAAATTTTCACGAGGCAGGGGGGAGAGTGAGATACCGTAATGTCAGATGTCCAGAGGGTCAGATTGTCCCGGAGAAGTTGCATGATTAATGTACTGTCCTTGTAAGATTCCTCACCCAAAGTATCCAACTCAGAAATAGCCTCATCAAAAGCCTGCCAAATGAAAGCATTCTATTTTAGCTGACAAACGACCTCTAGACAATCAACTTATGTCCCTGAGATGACATTTGAGGATCTTCACATAAGAACAATCTAAACTTCATGCCTTGAATACACTAAATTAATAAAACCCAGTAAAATGATTGTCATTCAACAATATTACCAGATATCATATGGTTAAAAGCAATCACAAACATTTCAGTTCAGACTAGCTCTAAGCTAGAAAACAAAAAACTTAATTCAATAATGATTTCATAAGCAAAAAGAGTTTACATAGAATAATCAATTCAAACTTTTTCCTAATTCAATGTATGTAACTTTCAGAATTCAGAGTATCAACCAGATTGGCACAGTAATTCTTTTAGGTGTTAACAGGTTGGCTCCTCAAGCATGCAACTAACCTACATATAAGAAGCTGCCATCACAACTAAATTCAGTTTTGGAGGGGTTAGATTAAAACAATATCCTATGCCATCCAAAACCAATGAACCTGAGACAGTTAAAAACCAGCAGAGTTTAGTTTACTAGCTGTTCTAGATCAATGACAGAACTGGGTGAATAATATTAATAACAATAAGATATTAAATGCAAAACAGGCGTAGAGGATAAACACCTGTTTTGCAAGATTGCAGGCACGATCAGGCGAGTTGAGGATTTCATAGTAGAAAACAGAGAAGTTAAGAGCAAGTCCAAGCCTAATGGGGTGAGTAGGAGGTTGCTCAGCAAGAGCAATATCCTGCCATCATAAACAAATATAAAGAGAAGCTAAGATATTCTATCTTAACCTTTTCAATAGGTGTGCAGGAATTATAGAGAAAATAACTGATAGTGACAAAAATGCATCACCAATTCACCCACCTGAGCAGACTTGTAAGCCAGCAAGGTGCTCTCAGCAGCTTCCTTCCTCTCGGCACCAGTCTTAAACTCAGCAAGATACCTGTGATAATCACCCTTCATCTTAAGGTAGAACACCTTCGACTCAGTGGATGAGGCGGAAGGGATGAGGTGAGATTCAAGAAGGTTCAAAATCCCATCACAGATCTTGCTGAGCTCAGCTTCAATCTTGCCCCTATACTCCTTTATTTGTGCAACATGATCTTCATTCCCCCTGCTCTCTTCCTTCTGCTCAATAGAAGAAATGATCCTCCATGAAGCCCTCCTTGCCCCAATCACATTTTTGTAAGCCACGGAGAGAAGGTTCCGTTCCTCGACGGTCAGCTCCTCACCACCCACGGTTTTCACAACTTTCTCCATGAACTCCACCATTTCCTCATAGCGTTCGGCCTGCTCAGCCAACTTAGCCATGTAGACATTTTCCTCTCGTGATGATTCAGTTGTAGACATCTTCACAATATCAATCTAATACTTGATCCTGCAAATGCAGAAATTTTTAATCTTGTTATACAGACATTTTCAATCAAATCCTGGACCTAAACAAGAATATCCACATCTAGAACAATCATTTGACACATTCTCATTCCTCAAACCTAAGGAATCAAAACAGTATTCAATTTTCAGTTCTTTGTTTCCTCAAATGATCTAACTCACAGATCCGATCTAATTTGTGCCAAAATACCAACAAGTACGTCCTAGAATTAAATAAATATTAATAGAAAGATCTAAACTGTGAGGAAGATAAGTCATTAGCACCAGCTCCTATATTTTCCATTCCAAAAGTTTCATAGAATCCAAACTGTTGTTTTTTTGTTAGCGAGACTTTTCAACCCAAAATCTTAGCAAAAGAATCTCATGCTTCATCCCCTCAACTTCTAGGAACAAACAGATCGCATGAAAAGGGAAAAAAAAACCTAAATAGTCAAATCAAACAATGAAAAGCTCAAATCTTAAAATGATTGAATCTAAACCACTGAAATTGAAACCAAAAAAAGAAAGCTACAAAACTATTCATTGAATCAATCAGAAAGCCAATAACAAAATCAGGGACGTATATGTAAAAAAAATTAAAACCCTACAGATCTCAGAGTAAAGAAATAAAATCCAAATTTATCAATGAAACTCTGAACCAGAATGACGTACCGATCGACGTTTTTGGCCCTTCTTCTATTTTCTTACGGATTTGTTCGTGGAAATGAGAGTGTGGATAAATTTATTATAGAACGGAGACTGACGAGACCAAGAACGCTGAATATTTTTATTATTTTATTTTGGCTTAATGGTACCACAGGCCCTCAAGCTTTTGTGAAAAACCAATGTGACTCTTAAATTAGTTTTACACTCAATATGGTCTTCAAACTTTAAAAAAAAATCAATATGGCCCTTTAACCATAGTTTCTGTCGTTGATAGTTATTGTACTGACATACAATTCAAGGTGCTAATGTGAAGTTTAGAGGCTTGTTTAATTTTAAAAAAATAAAAATATTTTAAATTTTAAATATAAACTATTGAAAATTTAAATAATTTAAAAATAAAACTATATATATTAAAAATAATAAAAACACTTTTAAAAATAAAAAAATAAAAAAATCATAAACTATAAAATGGTAAATTATTGATTATTAAAAATTAAAAGAATTCAAAAATATATATTATAGTAAAACCTCTTCATAAATGGTAATTATAACAAGTCCAATCCTAACTAAAGTAATTGAGTTTCAAATGATAATTATAACAAGTCTAAATCTTTCTTCTTCTTCTTCTTCTTTTGTTCATTGATTCGTTTTGGTTATCAATGTTACATACGACTTATCGAATTGAGATGTAAAGTTGTGCGTAATTAGGGATGGCATAGATCGAGTTTTCGATCAGTCAGATCCGACCCAAAAATATGTATCTTCCACTTGAATTTGATCTAAATTCCGACCCGACTCGACTCAACTCAAAAAATATATATCATCCACCCGACTCTGATCGTACTTGATCTAATCTGACCCAGTATAAAATAAGGGTTTAATTAAATAATAATATTTTTTAAAAGAAATTACATTATTATCCCATGGACGGGTCGGATTAGAGCTTTTTCACCCTCCATCCAAAATTGATTCGACCCAACCTCACCCCTTAAAAATATGACCCGACCCAACCTGAATTCAAAATTTTTTATAAAAGAAAGATCCAACATTATCAAATCGAATTCGATAAGAACCTGATGATTTTGGGTTAAATTGCAATCCATTATAAATGGGTATAAATAGGTTTGATTAATTTTTTTGGCAATTTATTATTCATTTTAGTGTTTTTATATTTAATTTTTAAATAATTGAATTTTTTTATTTAAAATTAAAATTATTTTTAATTTTTAGAAAATAAAAAAGTCTCTAAACTTAAAATATAATTTAAGCCTCGAACTTAACTAAAAAAATAATTTAATTCTTCAATTACATCATCAGCTATCATAGATAATTACATCAATACGTGAATTTTCTCATCATCATAATAACAATCAAAGACAGAAATTATTGGTGAAAAAGTCACATTCTGTTTTTTTTAATTTGAGAATAAATTATTTTTTAAGAGAAGTTTGAGTCTTTAGATATCATTAAGCCTTTTATTTTTTCTAAGAAATTGCTATAAAAGAGAGTGGTCCAATGAGCATTCGACATGTGGTGGATAGTAGAGATTCCCGTGGGTTTTGGTTTTGCGCTTGCCACGCTGGGAGCTGACCATCAATGCTTTGATTCTTAAAAGAGTTTAATTAAATTATGGGTTAACTACATAGATGGTAACTTATCTTTGTATTTTGTCTACTTTTAGTCACTGATCTCAAAAACAATAAGATATGGTCATTTTTGTTTTCATTTAATTAAGATATGGTCACTTTCGTTTTTATTTAATTAAAATATGGTCATCCCGAATTAATTGTCATTAATAGCAGTTAAATATTTTTGATATAATCACACGTTTGGTCCCTATTATTATATATTCTCTCAATTTAGTCATACTTTTAATAAATTAAAATAAATTTAATACTCCAACCGAACGATGCCACATGTCATACTAGTAAAGTTGTTCAAAAATACCCGATCCAATTGAACTGACCCATCGACCCGCTGACCCAGTTAAAAAATATCAAGTATTTATAATAAAAATACCCAATTTTTCAGGGTCGGGTGCTAGACTGAGTTTCTGAGTCGAGCATGGTTCACAGAATGTTGGATAATCAGATACCCTCTGACCCGTTACCTAATTTATTATATATATTTTATTTTATATTAAATTTTTATTCATAATCCTCAATTTATTTTACTCTAATAATCTAAAATCCTAATTTCTTAAATTTTGATACCATAACGTTCTAAATTCTTAATTTCTTAAATTATTTCACATTAAAGTTCAAAATTATTTTTTAAAATATTTGTTTTAAGTTCAAAACATTTGAAATTTAATTATATTTCTTTATTTTCAATTTTAATACATTTTATTTCAATTATGTAATTTGAATTTTTAAACTTTATGTGTGGATTATATATTATAGGCTTTTAAATTTTAGAATTTTTTATATAAATTTTTTAAAAAATAATATAATTTGAAGAAAAATAAAAAAATTATGAACCGGATACTCGTGACCCGAATTATATATAATATAATTTTATATATATTAACTTAAAACATTTTTATATTAAATTATTAAATATATTTTACTGTTAACCTAATTTAAAAATATTTTATTTTCATTTTCATTTAAAAATATATAATTTATTTTAATTTATTAAAAGTATGACTAAATTGAGAGAATATGTAAATAAAAAGGACCAAATATGTGAATATATAAAAATATTTAACTGCGTAGTTAACCCTTAAACTATTTATTAATTAAATATTAATTTTGATATAATTATAGGTTCATGGTGACACAAATACAAATATTTTATTATTTATTTTTAAATTGAAATGTAATATTTAATTATTTATACACAAATTAAGTGACCTCTGTGGTAAAAAAAATACTTGTTATTCTTGAAGATCCGGGTTTAAGCATCATAGATACATCCTAGAGGTATGAACATTCAATGTTGAAAGGTGAACTTATCCCATATTATTCAAAAAAAATTATTTATCGTAATGATAAATTTTTATAAATAATCTTTTAAAATGGGTTTAATGTAAATATAAGTGTTCAAACTATATTAAAAGTTAATTTTGGCGTCTAAAGATTTTTTTGTTAAAAACAGGAGTGTAATTTTTATTTATTACATTTTTAGGTGTCTATCGTTTAAAAAATCATTAAGTGACACATTTCATGTTCATATTTTAAAAAATTAAATTATATTTTATTAAAAAATAATATATATATATATATATATAACAATTGTTTTTAACGGTAGATACATAAAGTATAATGGAGAAAACGTAGACACATATATTTAACGAAAATTCTTTAGATATCAAAAGTTAATTTTATGTATAGTTTAAACACTTATTATTATATTAAATATTTAAATATAAATAGTTAATTTAGTTCATAAATAATTAAATTTAATAACATGTATTATCACATAACTTATTTAAAACAATACATATACTATTTTTCTATAATTTATGTACTTCAATTATTAAATGTTTTAATTTATTTAATAAATATTACCTTAAAAATAGTCCTCTATTTGAACTATACTATTTTATTTTCTTTATAAAGGTAATTGTTTTTTAAGTATAATATTTTTCAGCACAAACCAACGTATCTAAGTGGTTAAAGGAGTCGTTATTATTTCTAGAAGTTATAGTTTCGAGCACCAGCGATTCCAGTAAGGTTATTGAGTGTTATTGTCAAATGGTTGAGAGTATTTAGAACAGATACTACTTTGTAATAAAAAAAAGTATAATATTTTTCAATAAATAATTTCTATAGCAAATAGTTAAAAGCCCTCACTTGACACTTCTCTCTTTTATGGATTGTGGATTCAATATTCATTAAATATGAGTGTAAACAAGCAGAGTCGAGCTCGAGTATTACTGAGCTCGACTCGACTCAGAAACTTTGAAATGAAGTTCGACTCGAAAACTTACGAGCTTAAAATTTTCAAGCTTGAAATCATGAAATGAAGCTCGAAAATGTTCGAAATGAAAAAAAAAATCTTAAACTTAACTCGATTAAAGCCTCAAACTCAAACTCGAACCTGAAACTTAAATACATGAAAACCTTATTTTATTTTTTTTAAAATAATCAACACATAAATGTTAATATATTAATAGTTTATTTTTAAAAAAAAGTAATATCTTAATAAATTATATTTTCGAGCTGCTCACGAGCTTTTCGAGTCAAGTATCAAGTAGCTCATTTCGACTCGTTAAGAAATCAAGTCGAGTCCATTCAATTCGAGTATATATCAAGCATTGACTGAGTCGATCTCGAGTAACTCACGATCTGTCTCGTCTCATTACAACCCTATTCATTAGGAGCAAAAATTATCCTAATCATCTCCTAAATAGAAATTATTTAAAAAAGTATAAGGTCCATTTGGTTTTAGAAAATATATATTTTTTAGTTTCTTATAAAATAGAAACATTGAAGAAAACGTTTATGGGTAAATGATTTCTGGAAAATAAAAATAAGTGAAAATACGAAAATATAAAAAATATGTTTTCAACATTTTTATTAGAATTATTTTGAAAATTTAAAATAGGAAAATATGTAATCTAGAATTTTAACTTATATAGGTTCAAATCCTTCTAACAACAATTTTAAGTATAATTCAATAATAATTTGTTGCTATTTTTTGTACATAATTAATCTAATCAAGGGAACGTGTGGACTACTTTGACATAATTTATTTAATATGTACCAAAACTTCATTATTAAATAATTATTTTTGGTACATATTATTTAAATTTTAAAATAAAAATAATAAATATAACACCCCTAACCCGTATCCGACCCGGATATGAATCCGATGTGTCACATTGACTTTTCAATTCACTGACTTTTAAAAGTATTTGAAAAATTTAACAATTTATTTGTATTTAGAATGGTAGAACCCTTATTCAAAATTAAATAAAGAAAATTCAACTCAATTTGAAAATAAAAGCTCAATAATTTACACAAATACAATAGAGTATGTTACAAAAACTGATCAGAGCATATGCGATTTAAGCCTTTAATTACATGCCAACAATATTCAATATAACAAAAGAACATACTGTCCAAATCGTTTTTGATCTGATA